AGTGAAAAAAGTTGGGTTTGCTGATATTAAAATAAATAATTAAATTATGTATATATATATATGTATGTATATATATATATATATATGTGTATATATATATATATATATATGTGTGTGTATATATATATATATATATATATATTTGGCGGTCGGTTTGGTCCAAACCGCCCAAAAGAGATTCCAGACCGCAGACCGGACCGGACCGGACCGCTCAGTTTTACTATTTTCCAAACCAAACCAAATCGCCAGACCGTTCAAACCGCCAAAAACGGTCCGGTTTGACTTGGTTCGGCCGGTTTGAGCGGTCCAACGGTTTTTTTGAACACCCGTAGTTGTTAGGCACAGGGTCACAAGAATATGAGACTTTTGTCTGATCAATAACTGACTGCATAATGAATTGCAATACCTTCTATTTGCATCAACCCCATTCCTTTACAATTCCATCAAGTTGTTGAACCATGAAGTTGTCAATTTTGGTATGTTCTGTAGAATCCTGTAGGTGCATGTGACATAGAATTACGTACCAAATGTTTAGAAGCTTATGAGTTGTCAATGAAAAGAATGGAAAAAACGGATGGCAGAGAAGATACGGTGCCAATCAAGGCAGGTCCAATTATCGTGTTAACATTGTCCACAACCTGACCAATAAAAAGAGTATGTCAATTTTAGGCAACAATTAATCCGTACAAATCATAAGATCAGACCATCTCCATGAATTCACCATATCAAACAACCTTATTGTCTCCAAAAATAAATCTTTTTGTATAGTATAAACTTTTCTTGATTATAGCACCAAAAAATCACCTGATATCAACATTTGCAACTCAAGTTTGGAGTAAAGAAAACGTCACATCGCTCAAAGGCCAATCAGCCACCTACCTCAATTTGTAGAAATGAGGAAGCAAAGTACACATGTTTCAGGTTTTAGGGACTATCCAACCAAGTGGTGAACATAAATAAATCCAATTGGGAAAAAGGTTTTACAAACCTTCGAGACACCTTTTCCTAGATAGTCCAAACCTCTATCTCTTAATTCTAGAGCTTCATATATACCTGTTGCCGCCGGTGACTCGAATGATACTTTATATACAGAAAACTTGCATCTATGTTCCAAACGTAATTGGCTTCCGTCTCTTTCATCTTTTTTAACCCTAAGAACATGTTAGAGCTAAAATTCACTTTAAATAATGTGAAACAACTGACCAAACTACAAATGTCCACTTTTTTTTTTTAGAAAGAAACCTTAGATTAGAGATTTTTAAAATCTGAAACAACAAACACAAAATTCTACGATAAGTGACCAGGAATTTTGGATGGAAACTCCCATGGAAATTTACCCATTTTCCGGGCTCTTGCTGGAAAATTGTCCTTTTTAGCTATCTAAGAGCTTGTTTGTTAGTAGCTTAGTGAGCTTAATCGAACTCCCAACTTATTTGGTCCGGTGTACAAGAGTGTTTCATAGTAGCTTAGTGATATAGAAAGTGGCTTATTCAGTAAGCTTCTAGATGGAGCTTTATACAGAAACCCAAGTTTTTTTTTTCAAACCTGCCCATCCCAATTAAAAACATGCTCATTCCATCTATGAAAAAAGCCCTCCCAAACAAACACTTCTTCGGTTTATACCGACAAATTAATATAGGACTTGATGGAAAACCAACCAAACAACCCCTAAGCAAGAACTACCTATTTGCCTATAGTAATCTCCACAAATTATTAATCCTAGTTGTTTTTAACAACAATTATTGCCTTATTTTGTTGAAGGGTCTTTCGGACAACCAGTTAGTGGTTGAAAACCTTTCTTAAAATATCCATCGAGTCGAAAGTTGCAATTTTCATGGGACGGAAGGATTGCTTCATATGCATTTTTGACAAAATGAAAGTGAATGAAGTTCTAAATGATGGTATCGAAGATGATACTTACAGCTTGCATAAGATCATGAATTTCCAATTCTTCAAGATTAGCACCAAAACTACTCAGTCCATCCTTGAGTTCTTCAAAAGTAATGTAGCCACTGTTGTTTGTATCTATCATCTTAAACATTTGTTTTAAGCCAAAAATATCTTTTTCTGGAAAGTTTTGCTGCAATAACCTGCAGCCAGAAAAGAAAAACTTGTGGTTGAAGCCAAATGATCAACTCTGATTCTATAAGGCTTATTTGGCAAGTCAAAGAAATTAGTCAAGATTCATCATTTAAAAGGAACAAGTTTTTGGGAACTCAGAACACCATACCAAGTTCAAATCTATTTTACCCTAAGAGCCATTTTCTTAAGTTTGTTCATGGCAGAAAACCGAGTTAGGCGAGCAAAGATTGCATAATCAAAAGAGGCTTATATGGATTTACACCGAAGTCAAGTTTACCATGCAAAACCTCTTCGAATATATCTTCCTCAGAATTTGTAGACAAAGAAAATAGAAAGGTGGATCATTCACAATCAACCAAAGGGGAGATAATATTGCAAAGTTATACCATGTTTTGTCTCACTTGCCCAAAATGAGGTACCCCACAAAGAAGTATATAAATGATCACACCAGAACTCCTTATATCAACTTATGGACCATAATTTTTAAGCAAAACTTCTGGTGCAACATAATAATGGCTTCCCACCACATCCTAAAAAATTTGTCCTACATAATAGATAAGAAATTAGCCATGGAAATGCCAAAAATTGATTGTACACAAGATGACAAGAAACATATATTCATGGATAAAACAAAGTTGTTATACATCAGAGGAAAATGAAACATGTGCTAGAGAGACTAATATTGCACATGTATGCTATAATGTGAAAACCCATTTAGAAAAGATTTTCTGAAGATCTAACAAAATTCAAACCAGATTATAGTACAATCCTACTATGATCAAGATTTGATAAAAATGAGCAAGATAAATTCATAGAAGCATTTATAGTTCGAGATAAATATATGATTTGAAAAGGTACTTGGCTTAAACAAATTGATAACCCAAAAGCTATGTAGTGTCAAGTAGAAATAAAACCAAGAAATATAAGTTATAATGCAAAAAATTATTACCAAGAAATGTTAGCTCACAACAGTGTAAACTGCTAGAAGGAAATTATTGGACCTATTGGACTCTAAATATAGTTACTCCCTAAGTCACAATATAAGTGTCCGCATTTCTATTTTAACTTGTCCCAAAAATAAGTGTCTACTTCTCATTCTACCCTTAATTATGACATGAAGAAAAAACTTATTTTTACTATTAAGGGTGAAATTGTCCTTTAATCAATTAAAAAATGTAATAATTACACATTCCTACAAGTATGCCTTTTTCATTGTCTACAACCAACATGACAAAATATAGAGCCTCATACATTTCATATATCTAAAACTTAACTTCTTAATAAACTCTAAAATATACCGGATTATCACTTCATATGAATGGTGTTTCAACTGTTATAACCACACACACGGAGAAAAAGAGAACACATATTTTGAACTAACACTTTTAAAACAGCCGCATCTGCAAGATATGAAAACCTTACTCACAAGTGCAAACAAGAAAACATCAAAATGAAAACCTAAACACGCAAAGAGTTCTTTCAAAACTGCAGCAAATACATACAACCACAGTCCAATAGTCTTTTGACCTATTGTCACCAAACTACTAACCCCAACCAAGGACCCCTGACAAAGGAGGTTAAAGAATCAGGACTAGTAAGTGCAGTTGGCTGTTGTGTGTGTGAGTGATTCCAAACCCAAATAAAGTATGATTAGAGCTTTGGGATCAAAAAGTAATTTCCACTTTAAATTTGGTTGAACTTCTAAACATACAAAAAACTATGGGTTTTAAGTTGTAACAAATTTTTTCACACCAATTTCAAATCGAAAAGTATTACATTTGGTCTCAAAGTCAAAAGTCTTTATCTGTTTTCGAGGACGATGGATGCATAGAAAAGCATAAAATTTGCAGCCCTAAATATACAATAGTTCTTCCTACACATGCAGGATACCTTCTTACAAACACAAAAACATCATTATTAAAAAACTTAAATTTAGAATTTCGTATGCATATCAACGTCATAATCCTAAATCATCGTATTTCAAAAACGAAAATGAAAAGAAATGAAATCCTTACCAACTGGAACTTTGGGCTTACTAACAACAATCTTAAGTAGATCATTCAGTTCCTTCTCTTTTGCCTTCTCTTCCTTATTCATTCAAATCAAAAACATCAAAATAACCCCAATCAATAAAAAACATCAAACATCGATTAATCCATCAAATTAAAAAAGAAAACATAAAATTAATCATACATGCAACCAACCTTGGTGTTGATTTAGGATCAGGCTTAGGTTGAACAGATTGACGTAAAAAATTGGACGTATTTCTGAACATTCTTACTCTTCTTCTTATTCTTGACAATGAAGGTCTTGTCTTCGATGATCTTCTGATTCTTTTCTTAATCTGCTTTCAATTGCTATTTCAGAGGCATCTTTAATAGCCATCATTAACCTTTGGAGACATCTTTAATACATCAGGTACCATCAACCATTATGAAATGTGCTTCCATCTAATCCTCAAAAGGCTCTCAATCATCTACATCATCCCTTTGGAGGCGCTTGGACCGATCATTCAAAGTCTTCAAAAGGAGATAAAAAATACTGGACAAAATGCAAACAATTAGCAAAACAACGTATATAGATGTGATAAGAAAAAGCCCAAACCTTATTGTGATTTGACCAAGGCATGTTTTAGTCAAAACATGTAGACATCTTACCATGAGAAAAAAGAAATCCTTAGTAATATTATAACTATGATAACTTACAGGAAGAATATATGCTAAACCTAAATAATGAAAATCCCTTTTAACTTTAAAATGCATTAACAATTGAGGTTAAACATAACAATCTTGGCTACTTCACCACACAATCCACATGCTGGATATCAAACCATTTAGTTTCCTATCTCATACAAATTGCATTGACTATTAAGTGATTTGAACTGTTATACGTGCTCAAACCGATTGATTAAGAATGGATGCCTCAGAGATCTTGGTGGATAAGTATTCATCAAATGAGCATCGACTCATCAACAGTAGCAAATATCATTCTAACATCATTGGCATCTGTTCATTTCTACAATCTAAATTACAGCAAAGAAAACGACAAATTGTTTTTAAAAAATGCGCTTTTAATCATAAGAAACTAATGGTTACTGTACCTCAAAGCAAAAATACAAACGATTTACCGAAAACGGAAACTAATCGCTGAACTCGACCAATATCATGAAAATGAAGTGAAAGTCATCAAAATCTCTGCAATGTAAAAAAAAAAATCAAAACATCAAAGTCAGTTTTAAAAAAAAAGAAGAAAGAGAAATTGATCAGCTAAGTTGTAGATAATGAGTCAGAAGTAGCTGGTTGTAACTTCACCTTTCTTTTGAAGAGAAATCAATAGAAATTTTATGAAAAAATCGATTCAACAATATAGGGAAGTCCATGTATCTGCTTCTGATCACCATAAATTTCACATCGAAGCAGAAGCATCAGAAACTAATGGACATAATTTCGCAAATCCAAAAATCCAGTAAAAATAGTAATCGATCAATGAATTAAAAAAATGCAAGTAACAAATAATAAATAACTTATAGATTTGAGACTAATAAAAACCTAAGATCATGAAGTAGTAATAATCATATGTAAGAAGAATAGAAGTTACTAACATGAGAATCCTGAAGTGAGATGTACAAACCGTGTTGGTCCCATTAGGGTCTACAAGATATTTAGAAACAGTTTGTAGAAGGAGGGATGAATACAAACACAGTAAACATTTCAAATTTAAAATATATATTGATAAAGAAATATCAATACAAATTTTAATAGATTGTATGCGGAAAAGATAAGGTAGATAACCTATCTAAACAATCTAAGTTACACACAAATATTCTTAGCAGAGAGAAAAGATTTGATGTTTAAGACTAAGAAGAAAGTGAGTTCTCTCTGGGTAAGAACTATTTAGAATACTTGAAAAGGGATTCTAACTTGCTTTGAAGATAAACGTATTGTGTTCTTAGATGTGTGTGTTCTTTCACATATGCACGTAAGGATTAAGGTTCAAGGGTGTCTCTGCACGAAGATAGAACACATCTATTTATACCTATTGCATTAAATGCACATTTAATGCAATGCAGTAGGGTTTAAACACGCATCAAGCCTTTAGAGGAAGACTTGTCTTTTGCTACAGTGAATAGTACAAAAGGCTATTTAGGAGCAGACATCCTTTCATGGAGTTGGTGGGTAGTAGAGTCAACTAATCGGCTCCATACCGTACTATACTCTAGAAAGGGTATAGGTTTGTTTTTTATGTGTGGAAGAACAAGACAAGAGCAATCTTGATCAACAAGCTTCTTTTGATCGCTGAAGCTTGGAATAACCCTGAAGGTCTCTTCAGCATTCGCTAAGGCTTAGGCAATCTTCACACATATGTAGACCATGTTGTAATCACTGAATGCCACTTCAGATCACAAATGCACCAGTCTCTAATCTTCAGTTTCAGTCTTCAACTTTCACTAAAGGTTCTTTGGTGTGAGTTTTGTCTTCTTGATGTATCGCTGTCGCTAATGGATTTATATTACATGTTCTCAGCAATCACTGAACAGACTCAGTGATGATCGCCGAAACTCAAAGACAGAAACAATAATACTTCGTACAAGGTAAAATTGGATTATCGTCAAATCACTGAGAGAGAGGATCAACAATCTCCCCCTATTTGATGATAACAAAACAACATAAAGAAGGTTGTCTTATCAAATAGTAGTAAGGAAAAGTTACATATAAAGTACATGACCCTTTTAACTGTTTGGGGATCTTTTTCAGTGAGTCAGTCTTTACTTAGAAAATTTTCTTAAGTTATAAGTTTAATAAAAAGTATAAGAAGGGAAACTGAAACTGAAAGCATGTTCACTGACTTATAGATTGCCAGTAAATGTAAGAGTAACACTGGAACTCATAGACTTGTGTCCCTATTACTCTTTTTAGGGATCTTTTTTCCAATGATGCACAAGAAATACTTATATTAATTTCAAAAGGAAAAATTACAAGTCATTCAGTACATGTCTTAGACTTACAAAATATGAGTTGAACACTGAAAGGAGACATAGAATATAAAAGGTTTATACAGTTAATGGACAAATTACAAAGGAAAGTAACTAGTCAAAGTCGTTTAGAATAATGAAGCCATGTACATTTTGTCCAAGCTCCTTACCACATCTTCAATAGTCCCACTCTTTTCTTTTCTACTCAATGTGTCAGCTACCACAATGGCTTTCCCTGGGTGATAGAGGATTTCACAATTACAGTCATTTACAAGTTCGATCCACCGACGCTGCCGCATATTCAATTCTTTCTGGCTGAATAAATGCTGCAGACTCTTATGATCAGTATAAATTTGGCACTTTATTCCCAGAAGACAATGCCTCCATATTTTCAGAGCAAATACTACAGCTGCCAATTCCATATCATGAGTTGGATATTGCTTCTCATGATCCTTCAACTGCCTTGACGCATAAGAAATCACCTTTCCTCTCTGCATCAAAACACATCCCAATCCCAGTTTCAAAGCATCACTATATACTACAAAATCTTCTGATCCATCAGGTAGGGTCAACACTGGTGCACTACAGAGATGATCTTTTAACAGTTGGAAGGTTGTTTGCTGTTCTTCCTCCCACTGAAATTTAACATTCTTCCGAGTCAATTTGGTCAATGGCACGACTATCTTAGAGAATCCTGAATGAACTTACGATAATAGCCTGCCAACCCAAAAAACTTCGGACTTTCGAAGGAGTTTTCGGGGCTTCCCACTTTTCAACTGCTTCTATTTTAGCCGGATCTACCTTCACACATGACCCAAGAACTGAACTTCCTTTAACCAGAATTCACACTTAGACAACTTTGCATACAGCTTTTCTTTTTTCAGCATTTCCAGTATCAAGCGAAGATGTTCAGCGTGCTCTTCTTCAGTCTTAGAGTATATAAGAATATCATCAATAAATAGAATAATGAATTTATCAAGATATTCCTTACATACCCTAATCATCAAATACATAAAGACTGCAGGCGCATTAGTTAAGCCAAATGGCATAACTAGAAATTTGTGATGCCCGTATATAGTTCGGAAAGCTGTTGTAGCAATGTCTTCCTTCCTAACCCTTAGCTGGTGATACCCCGACCTTAAGTCAATTTTGGATAAATAACTCACTCCCACCAGTTGTTCAAACAAGTCATCAATCCTTGGCAAAGGATACTTATTCTTGATTGTCAACTTGTTCAATTCACGATAATCTATACACATTCGCATAGATCCATCTTTCTTCTTAACAAAGAAGACCGGAGCACCCCAAGGTGAAGTACTGGGTCGAATAAATCCTTTATCAGTTAAATCCTTCAACTGAGCAACCAATTCCTGTAATTCTGAAGGAGCCAATCGATATGGCGCCTTACCCCCGGTATAATATCAATTCTGAATTCGATAACTCTATCTGGCGGTAATCCAGATAAATCTTCTGGAAAGACTTCTGGGTATTTATTAACAATTGGAATTAATTCATGTTTTCCCTTCTCTCTCTTCAAATCAATCACATATGCCAAACACCCCTAACACTTCTTTCAGATACACTTTTGAGCTTTCAACACAGTCAAGAGACTGGTATGATGATTCTGACGATCACCATAGATAACAATTGTTCCTCTCTCTGGTAGAATGATTCTGATCATTTTCTTATTGCAAAGAATACTGGCCTGATGCTCTGCCAACCAGTCCATACCCATTACTACATCAAATTCTTTCATCGGCATGGGAAATAACCGAATCGGTAGCTCACAACCCTCAATAACAATAACACAGTTATTGAATACACTAGTAATAGATTCCTGACTATTAACAGTATCAACTACTAGTTTGTCATGAAGTAGCATAGAATTCAAACATACAATTTGAGCAAACGATGGTGATACAAACGAAAAGTTTGCACCAGAGTCAAATAACACCTTAGCACGTATAGAATTCAGAAGGAATGTACCTGTTACTACGTCTGGCAATGCTTCTACCTCATTCTTTGTCATCTGGAAGGACCATCCCCGTGCCCCTCCTTGCCCTCCTCTTGTTACATTAGGTCTTCCCCGAGTACCCAACACCTTACTCGCCATTGTCAACTGTGCAGTTCTTAACAACGGACAACTTGGTCGTATATGGTTCGGGGAATTGCAATTGAAACATCATCGGTTGGCTGGGCAACTCCTTGATAAATGGCCCGCTTTGCCAAACTTATAACACTTCCTTGGGTCTATCTTACATTCACCTTGATGAACCTGTCGGCATTGTGTACAGACTTTCTCACCGACCTTTTGTTCAGCTTTATTTTCGTATTTTACTGCTTTTGGCCCTCGAAAGTTTGATAAAGGCCGTTCCCATCTTCTCTTCTCCACAACTTTACCCTCTGATTGCCGGTTCTTATTCCGTTCCGTTACTTCTCCTACATCCACGATTAGTGAAAAGGTATTGGGATTCATAGCAATTACAAATTCACAGATTGAAGGTTTCAATCCCCAAATATACCTTTCCACCTTTCTGGATTTCGATGAAATATAATGTTCAGCAAATTGAGAGTATTCAATAAACTTCTTATTGTACTCTCGAACTGTTCCTTTTCCCTTTTCTAATTTCAAAAAATCTTTTTCTATTTGTTGTACAACCGTTTTAGGGCAGAACTGATCCTTGAATAGATTCACAAATTATGTCCAGGATAATGTTTGTAAGACATCTGCTCTAGCCAACGATTCAACTTCCCACCAAAACAGAGCATTTGACTTTAATACTGAAACAACAAATCTAACTTTATCAATTTTCGAACACCGGATGGTGTTGAACACATATTCAATCTCCCTGATCCAGCACATGGCTTTTACTTGATCCCTTTCTCTAGAGAAAGTTGGTGGTTTACAAGTCAGGAACATCTTGATATCTCCTCCTTTGTTATGAGTGACCGAAACAGAAGGATGTACTTACACTCTTTCTGTCTCCACTCTAGCCGGTATCCTCATAATAGACGTCAAGTTTTCCCTTAAC